AGACGGCTGGCGCCGCTATGTTCGAGGAAACCTGCGCCGCGAACCGAAAACTACTCTGGCCCCAATGGCGGCGCTGACTTTGCTCCGCGCGCTGAGGGCGCCGAACGTTCCGCGGCCCGTCGATCTCTGTGGAAACGCCTCGACGCCGCCGGACTCGGTTTCGGCAGGGGCTGAATTTCCACATCCAGCCTGACGCGTGGCACGGCGAACTCGGAGTTCACTTCGACGCGACGCTGCTGCTCTCCACTCGCCTCGCCGTCAAATCATGCCTCGCAACAGGCGCGAACTGCGCGGCCCGTCGACGCCAGTTGTCCGCCTCGGTGCTCGCGCTCGGGGGGCGCGCCCTGCCTCCGACTGGCCCAGGCAGTCGCGCCCCTGCTGCGGGGCCGGGCGCGCGCCCTGACCTGCCCGGCCCCCCCCGTCGCAGAAGCCAAGCCTCCGCCATCGAATAGCGGCGCCACTTCGAAAGGCCCAGCGTCCAGGGTAGCACGGTTCATGCGCCTCTCCATTGTAGCGTCGTTGACGAGTCCCCCGGCGTCGCCCGCAGCCCTCGTGCGCGCGTCGCGGGGCTGTCGCCTCAAGATTCATTCGCGCCTTCCTTGCGCTTCCGCGGCGTCGCGGCCGCAGGTGTCAATTGCCGAAGAGATCGGGCCATCGTGCCGCGTGCTCGAACTGCTCACCCGTGTCCGTCGCGCCCTCGGACCTCTCCCTAGCGACTGTGTGTGGTCCACTGCGTGTCAACTGTGCAATGCAGGCAGCCTCAGGGCGGCGTCGATGCCGGCGTCCGCTGCGCGGGCGGCGCCATGGCTGCCGCGCCCGCGTCGAGGTCGAGCGCGACCCATCTGCCGTTCGCGCGGATCTGCTCGCGCATCTTCGGCGGGGCGGAACTGTCGTCGCAAACCCGCTGCCTTGACAATCATGGCGCTTGAAAGCCGCTGATCAATAGATGGGTCACAACTCCAGGACGTAACAGCCCCCTGGTCCCAGCTGACCTGCTTTTTCAGCTCCCTATGCTGTTAAACTGATTGGCTGGTTTGCCCTCTTTGCCTTTGCCTCGATTCTTCGACTTGCCGCCCATGGAGATCGACTCGCTACCGCCGCGCGTGTTCCTCTGCCGAAAGTTCTCGGACTTGTGACCAGTCTCGCGGCAGCTCCAGCAAGCAATTTTCGAGCTGATCGACGACTTACCCATGGACTCCCCCCTACTGTTGTCGCGGCTTGTGCCTGTGCCTTTGCCTCCTTCGAAATGGTAGTTCCCTTTGCCGTTGCCGCCCTTGGTTCCGCCCTCGCGGCCCATCGAGCCCACGCCTATGGCATCCGGGTCCCTGCAGGTGGTCTCGCCAGTCTGGGTGTCGCGTTTTCGATTCGGCGCCCCCCGTCTTCGCCCCCACGTAGAAAGCGACTTCTTTCCTCAACGCCTCGGGTTCGGACCCGCTCCCCCCGGGAGCGTCTATGACCAGACCGAAAGGTTCTCTCGACGTGGGCTGCTGGAGCGCTGCGTGCAGTTGCGTGCGCGTGGCGTCGATGACTGGAACGAGATCATGATAGTCTGCCTCAGGACCGACGGCCTGGCGAGCATCATTGTATGTGATCGGCACGGCCTGCCTCGAAGCTCACTCCAAAAACTCTGTGCAATACTCGTCAAACACAAAAGACACAACTGATTCAATTGTGCCTGCCGTTCTCGCCAGCGCTGCCGTTCTCGCCAGCGGTGCTTGCCAGCTTACCGTCTCAACGCGCATCTACCAACCAAACTGCCCGATGCGGCGGTTCCGCCGCGTCCTGCCGTAGCAATTATCTGAAATGGGCCTGTCCATCACCTCTGGCTGGAGCCTCGTTACTGGAGGTATGCCTGCAGACGCTGATTTTCCGCTGCTCCTCCTCGCATATTATGTTGATGTTGATCCTGCTGCTGGCCTAGCTGTAGTCATTGTCTGTGAGCTTTTCCATGGCTGTCGAGCTGTTTGAGCTCGACCTCGATACCCACGCTGAGCCTCAAGCGGATATGCGTCTGTTCTTTGGATAGACCACCGAGGCGGCCGAAACACCCATTCTTGAACATGCACCTCTTGAGGTAAGCACCGAGGCGCCACTGGAGGAGTCACCCGCCGTCCTGTGGTTCCTTTCGGAAAACTCAGAAACGAAACCAAAGGCGGATGTTTCCGCTACCAGGTCGGAATAATCAGCGCGTGAAACGTCGGTCGTAGCTTTCCAACGCAATACCTAAGACGTTTATCCGTCACGCTTTTGGGCGCATGCAGACTGCAACATGCACTGCTTTCAATAATACAATGCCTGCACTGAACGCTCTGACGTCGTGAGAACGGGAAAGCTGGACTAATCTATCCCACGCGTATCAACTCTCTGCACCTGCATACCGCGGCCGGAACTTGTTCCATCCTCCCCGCTCTGGCCTCCCCCGTTGTTCCTCATTATGTTTCCCCTCGTCCCTCCTGCTCCCTTCCGTACTCCTTACTCACTCCTCCTCCCCCTCCCTCCATCCTTCTTCCTCCACCGTCCCTCCCTCCCGCCCTCCTCAAAGCTCCCTCCTCCAGCTTCGCTCCCTCCTCCTCCTCCTCCTCCTCCTCCTCCTCCTCCTCCTCCATCCCCCCCTACCTTCTCCCTCTCCCCCCTCCCCCCCTCCCTCTTTCTTCTTCTTCTCTCTCTCTCTCTCAAAGTCCCAACCCCCCGCCCGTCATCACATCCCCCCCGTTCTGGCCGAACTCCTGCCCCGAAGCGTTTCCCGTGTGCTCCATCACCTGCCCTTGTCCTGGCGGGCGCGGGTCCTGTTCCCCAAGGCTGCCTTGGCACTCTTCGGGGCCAGTCTCTCTCTCTCTCTCTCTCTTTCTCGTCCTGCTTTGCGTCTTGCTGTCCTCGAGGCCCTGGACGGGTCCCGGGAGAAAGCCTGAGAGCGGCGAAAGGACTGCAGTGCCCCACCCCTGGACCTCCGACGTCGTCGCTTGTCAGAACGCGGGCCCCAGGATCTCGACCCCCATCCCTCACCTCCCGCTTCCTCCCCATTCCCGTCCTCTGCCCCTCCTACGTAGCTGTCCCTCCCCCCTTCCCTTCCTCCTCCCAGTGTCCCCTCCTCCCCCTTCCCCCTCCGCTCCCTCTCCTCGTCTCTCTCCGCGCAGCACCAGCCCAGCGCCCGCCGACCACGCGCGAGGGCCCCCTCTTGGACATCGCCAGGTATTCTTCCCCAGGACATGCTGCTCTCCCGACTTGCTTGACGGTCCTGAGGCCCCTGAGGAGGCCCTCAGGAACTGACTGGGTAGTCGAAGCCAATCTGGCGCCAATCAGGTCCAATCTGGCAAACGGGGGCAATCCGGCGAGGGCGCCAGCGCGAATCCAGTCTGGCGAATAACCAAAATCCTCCAATTTGGCCAGGCCAGATTGGCCCTTGGGGCCCAATCCAATCTGCCAGTCTGGCCTTCGACTACCCAGACTGAGAACGGCGAACCACGAATCGCTGTGCCCACAGAAGCCGGAGACGGCCAGACAAAAACCTTGCGATCTCTTCGCGAGACGAGGGGGCTAGGGACCGTCCCCGGCCGTCCTTCCTGAGGGGGCACAAAGGGGGGGGACCTTGGCTCGGTGAGAGGGGGGGGGGGAAGGTTGAATCAGGTCGACCCCCTACAGGGGCTCCTTGGGCGAAAAACTGACAAGTGTCCCCTACAGGGGCTTCTTGGGCGAAAAATCAAAAAAAAAAAAAAAAAAAAAAACCTGACTATGTTTGAAAGATCCCTCCTGTGGAGGGGCCGGCCCGACTCGGGCGTGGCCCTGGCCTGGGCTCGGCGGCGCACCGCCGACGCATCTCGGCGACGGGCCCCCGGGCGGCAGCAGAGCCGCCCGCGCTCCCCCGTGCAGGCGGAGGGCGGGGCGGCCCAGGGCGACCTCGGCGAGAAGGGTGGGCGGCTGGGGGGTCGACGCCTTCCCCACCTTGATCCAGTACAGCAGGAGGCCCGACCGCAATGGAGGGGCCCCAGGACGCACAAATGAATGCACACGAATAAAAGAAATATCCCCCATAGTTTCCTACATTTTCTGGGCGTGGGCGCCCAGGCCGACATCGGCGAAGGGTGGGCGGCTGGGGGTCGACGCCTTCCCCATCTTGAGCCAGTACAGTCGGGGCGTTGACCTAAGGAACCTTTTAAATGAGGGACGAGGCCCCTGGATCCCAAAAGTTCAGCTTCGGTGTCCCATCGAAGACCTCGGGAAGACCCGAGCCAAGCTGTAAAACAATCAAGCCAGTGGGAGGCCCGACCACAATGGAGGGGCCCCAGTACGCACAAATGAATACACACGAATGAAAGAAACATCCCCCATAGTTTCCTATGTTTTCGGGGCGTCTGTCTTCCCCCCCACGTCCCAGATGTTCCCATATGTTCTGGGGAATCGAAGATTCATTGTGTCTGTGTGTTCCTTTTCCTCCCGACCACAGGAGACCCGACGCACGAAACCCCACCCAGCGGAGCCCAGGGCCGTCGGTGACTCCTCGTGTGGGAGCGTCACGCTCTCCATCGCAGAAGCATCGAGGCCCCAGAGACCCAGGGCACCCTGGAGGCAAGCGGGGTGCATCCCGGCAGGGGCTTCCACTGTACCCCCCTTGACGCTGTCCGTGCCTGGGTGTGGGCTTCGGGTCGTGGCGCGGCCCTCCTGCCTGCCGTCGTGCGGACGTCCATGTCGCGTGCATGCTTTGGTTTCGTGCGTTTTTTTTTTTTTTGCTCGGTGGTCCAGGATGGTCCTCCATGTTTCTCGCCGAGAAAAATGCACACGTCCGAGCGATGCCAGGCCTGCGGCCGCTCGGAACCAGATGCGGCCCTGCCAGAACGCTCTCGGCGAGGCGCAGCCGCTGAAAAGCACCCCCAGGCCCAAGAACCTCCAGGAACCAGCAACAGATTCAGGAACAATTTCCGAACGACGACTTCGAGGACGATGACGAGGACGATGGATTGCTGACGAGGACGAAGACGAGGTCGAGGTCGATGACGACCCCGCGCCTGCACCCGGCCGACGCCCTTCCTGCGGTCCTTGAACGCGCCGTCCGCCTTGCCGTCGGGAGGGAAGCAAATCCATATCCACTGCCTCGCGGACAGGGCCCCCTTGGCCGCGACGCCATGGATATGGGGCAGTCTTTGGCGGAAGCCCCGCGCAGAACGCATCCATGCGACAGCGGTAGCAGCCCTTGACGCGCGCCTCCCAAGTAGGAACCAGGCAGATGCAAAACAGGCGGAGGCGTGCATCCTCATTGGCTGGGTGTCGGCTCAAGGATAGCCCCGCAGCGGCCCACGAGATCTGGAGGACGACGACGACGACGAGGACACAAGCTCAGAAGGGGAACGAAAGACGAGGCGACACGGCACGCCATATGACGCCATGCGGCCGCGTCTCCAGGAGATCGCGCCCTGGAGTCCAGACCGCCAGGGCGTGGATGTGGATACATCTCAAGACTGCAATATTAGAACGGGCATGTCCCCCTACGCGCGGATTTTGATGAACAGATGAACAATAGCCAACACATGCTCAAACATAGCCAAAAATAATAGAAAGACCGTCCCCTGTAAAATCTGGTTTGACTATGTGTGAATACTCCTCCACTGGAGGGACGGGCCCGGCCTCACTGCAGTAAGGAAGAGCAAACCAAGGACGCAGAGGCCGTGGCCACTGAGGAGCTGGCAAGCTTTGGACGGCGGGCTGCCCACACCCCGAAGACGCAACGCTCGAAGGGGCCTAGGTACACACTCATGAATACGCACAAATACACACAAATTCCAGGATCCCCCATGGTTTCCCACATTCTCGAGGTTTTCGTCTTACCCCCACTTCCCAAAAGTTGTCCATATGTTCCTGGGGGTTGGCGATTGCTTCTGTCTGTTTTCCCCCTCCTGAAGAATGCCCAAATACACAGACACACAGACACACACACAAACACACACACACACGCACACGCACACGCACACACGCACACACGCACACACGCACACACGCACACACGCAAACACACACACACACACACCCACGCACACGCACACGCACACGCACACGCACGCGCACACGCACACACACACACACGCACACACGCACACACGCAAACACACACACACACACATACACACACAAACACACACACACACACTCACACTCACACTCTCTCACACACACACACACACACGCACGCACGCACACACACACACACACGCACACGCACACGCACACGCACACGTCTTCGCCGAAAAGGCGCTCCGCCGCGTAGCCCAAGCACGTCGGGCGCCCCGAAGAATTACCCTCAGGGCTTGGCCAGCGGAACGTCGGCGAAGGACGGGGCCGCCGAGGAAAGGACCCAAGGGCAAACCCCTGAAGACAAAAACGTGGGTCCTCATCCTGCAGTTTGACTGTGCGCTCGCCGCGCCCGGCCTTCGGCGGCTCGAACACGAGCGCGACGTCGCAGCCCGCCGCGAGGCTGGGCACGCCCTCGCGGCTGGCGGGGCCCTGCTCCTCCTGGCGGGGGCGGCGGCGGCCGCGCGGCAGCCTCGTGAACGCGCGACGACTGCGGCATTGGGCCTCCGACGCCGCGCGGAGCGCTCGTGAGCTCACGCTCCAGCCGAGGCCTCGGGCAGTCTCGCCAGACCTGGCGGCGCGCAGAAGGGGGTGGAGGGAGGGGGGGGAGGCTTCTTAGGAGGAGGCTGCTCCTTAGAAGGCGGCGGCCTTACATCTGTACACAAGGCCCGCGCCTTCTGAGAAGCAGGGGTGCTTCTAAGAGGCCTTCCCCCCTCACCCTACCCCCCTCTGCGCGTGGCCGCTAGACACGATCGCGTCGTTTGAAACATCAGGACGGGCGGGTTTCGGCAAGTGTTGGCCTGGGGGTGCCCTCGCCGAGCCTCGGGGACATCAGAAAACGACCCAGGACGAAAAACTGGCATCGGGGAAAGGGTTGGGACTTCCAGGGACCCCGCATTGAAAACATCAAAACGTCACATGTCTGGGTCTGAGACGCCCAAGACGGGTACGATGGAGGCCAGTCCACAAGAGACCTTCCACAAGAAACCCCACCCTGAGACCCCAGGACGTCCACTGGTCTTTGGTATGGGCACGTCACGCTATCAATCGCAAAACCATCGAACCCCCCAAAACCAGGGCATCCTGGAGGCAAGCAGGGTGTTTCTTGGCATGGGTCTCCGCTGCACTGAAAGAGTAGGCACGCTGCCGAACAACAAGTGTTGTTCAAATCCGACAGCGGCCGATGTTGGGCAGGCGCCTTGTTTGTCTCAAGCGGGCCACGTCCGCGGCGACGCCAACAGCAAATCCTCTTCAAAAGGGTCAAGAACTGCTGCCGGTCTTCGTGGCCGTCCTTCCGGTACCCGTTTCGATCCTCCAGAAGTCTAGCGAGTGGGCCCCGAGGGGTGCACTGCGGAATGCGGCTTGGGCACACTTCTGCCCCCATCCCCCGGCGAAGGGCGCAGCAAAACCACCCCCGCCACCGCCAAGGAGAGGCTTCCCAACCCCCCCAACCGATGGGACGAGGACTCCAAAACGCTCGGCCGACATCTCGGGCCGGATCGCTCCACCTGGACGGATTCGCACGCTCCGATGGCACAGTTCGTTCCGCGCTGGCCGGTTCTGGTGCACGGACGGCGGCCAACTTCGAGCACCCGCGGCGGAGCCGCGGCGGCGTCAGAAGGACCTAGAAAAGGAAACGCGATGAGAATTGAATAAGCTTCCGCCAGCCTTCTGACGAGGACGGACGAGGGGAAGCCGTTCGATTCTTGAAGCAAGAAGGCGTCCGAGGTAGGTTGGGAGCTGGGAGTCCCACGGGGCGTAAGGTGGTCTAGGTTGTTTTTTCTTCCAACCCCCGTTTCCCCCCCTTCCGGGGAGGCGTTTACGGCGTCGGCGAGAAAGCCACAATCATTGGTTGTACTTGGGTTTGGGCCCCATGTTTGCCTCTTGGGGGGGCAACCTTAATTGAAGCGCCCCTCTTCTTTGGTCGATGTCCTCCATGACGGCCTCAAGAAGCGCCCAATGCGGCCCCAAAAAGCCGCCAAAGGCCCCAAGATGGCCCCAATATGGCCCCCAAGAATCCCCCTCTGGAGGCCCCCAAGAGGACCTCAAGCGGCCCCAATAAACCCCCCCGAAGCACCCAAGACGCACAAAAACCCTCCAGGACAGCCAGGAGACCCCAAAGACGTCCCAAGAGGCCACCAAGAAACGCCCAAGAGATATTCCAAGAGGGTCCGAGAGGCATCCCAGACACCTCTGGCACTTTTGCTTACCCTCCTCCTCCTGGTCCTTATTCCTCCTACTCCTTCTCCTCCTCATCCTCCTCCTCCTCGCCCTCGTTCTCCTTCTCCCCACACCCCCATCCATCCATCCAACCTCCTCCTCTTCCTCCTCCCTCCTTCGCAAAGTTCGGCCGTCCACCTCTTTGCTCCTGCACTGCCCTGATCAGTTCAAGTCGCCTGGACATCGTTTCTGGATGGGCTGGCGGGGATACTTGTTGATCGCGAGTGTCGCGGAGCCAAACGGGAAAAAAACAAGGCGAGACAGGGGCGAACGACCAACAGAAGAAGCGGCAGCGGCAGCGGAGCAGAGAGAGAGGAAGACAAGACAGAAAGACAGAAGCTAAGCCGCAGCTCGATCTCACACCAAGTAGTAGACGGCCGCACCTTACCGAACTGCATGTACCTGTAATGGTCTCGACGTATCCGAATCAGATCACCCAGGCGGGATGCCGCGAGACACGAGGAGACCACGGAGTGGACCACCGGGAGCACAAGGGGCGGTGCGTAGGGCAATTGCAGCCAGCAGTCCATCAGGCCATCTCCAGGGCCAGCACGGTCGACGGGCAACGTCGTCGCATTCCCCGAGCCCTGGGGGGAGCAAGAGAGGGTCCGACCGAAGAGGCAGCGGACAGTGCCTGGACTCGAAGAGCACCGAGGGGCAACGGTGAATGCACAAGCCAGTGCCGACAAAGAACAGCCCGGGCCAGCCGGGCGGGGAACGGGCAACTGGCGCGGCCTGGGGGGCCCGCGCCTGCCAAAGCGGTTCGGGCGACCAGCCCAGCCGCAGAACGACAGGGAAAAAATGTTACACCTGAGACATCCTGGTGCACGGCCGGAGTGCACCTGACAACCGCAGTGAGGTGGGGACTGGCTTCGCCTGAGACGTCCTGGTCCTCTGGTAGGGTGCAGCTAACAGCAGCAGAAAGGTGGAATCGGTACACTTCGCCTGAGACATACTGATGCTCCGTGGCTAGCCACGGGGCGTGGGAGGATGCTCCAGTTTTGATGTCTCCTGAGACAGACCAGTCCACATGCTTTGCACTGGCACTGCTGGGCTCTGGTAGGGCACAGCTAACAGCCGCAGGGAAGTGGGAACACGCCTCCGCCTGAGACATGCAGGAGGTCAGCTTAGCAACCTCAGGCATCACGCTGGCACCGCAGGAGAACGCCAGTGCCCTGGTAGAGTGCAGCTAACAGCCGCAGGAAAATGGGAAGAGGTTCCGACTGAGATATCCGGGCGGTCTGCCTGGGAGCCGCAATCGGAGGGGTAGTCGAATGCAGCCCAGGGCCAGGGGCGGGGGAAGTGGCCAGAGAGACAGTCAGCCCAGCCCGTAGGGAGGGCAGACGGCCGGGGGAGATGGCGGTCGAGGCGGGGCCCAGAGGGCGCCAGCCCAGGGGGGGATTGGAGGGCGCTGCCGATGGGACCTGGTAGCAGCAACAGCTGCAAGAAGGCGGGGGATGTCGCCCTCGCGTGAGACGCGTTGGACCCCGGGCGGGCTGGTGCCAGGCGGGAATGAAGTTGGCGGCCGCCGAGTGCCGGGAGAAGACCCAAACTTGTGAAACCAGGGTTGGGGTGCAGTGAACAGCCGATGGGCGTTGGCTGATGCCGTCGCCTGAGACGAAGTGGTCCTCATGATTCGCGTTTGCACAGCAGGAGCTTGCCCGGTGCTCTGGTGGGGTGCAGCTCGCAGCCGCAGGCAGGACGGAAAAGGACGCCTTCGCCTGAGACGAACAGGTGACCTGCATGGGGCCTGCATGGGGGTAGCCGAATGCCGTCGACGGCCCAGAGCTGAGCGAGGTGGCCACAGACTGTTGGCGCAGTCCGAAGTGAGGGCGGGCGGCTGACGGGGGCGTCGGCCGGGGCGGGGCCCGGAAGGCACCTGCCCGGAGGGCGGGTGCAGAGTGCCACCGAGGAGATCATGCACGGCGGGAGCACCAGGGAGCTGCAAAAAGAAGCCGCAGTGGCACTAGCAGCGACAAGGGCCACGGAGCGGCCCGGCCCCCGGTCGCCCACGGCGGGCCTGGGACTGGCCTGGGCCACGGAGCGCCGAGGTGACGCGCGCGGTGGCGGCCCGCCCTCTGGTCAGATGGGCGGGGCCCACCGGGCCCACGATGCGTCGTTGAGGGCGGCTGGGCCAAGAGGAAAGCCCCGACCGGCCGAATGTTCGGAGCGCCCTCGGGGTCCGTAGTCCTGCTGCCCTTGGCGACGCTCCCTCCGCGCAGCCCTTTGCCTTTGCCATTGTCGGGGTTGTCCGTGAGTGTCTGGTCCTCGCGCGGATGCGCGCGCGCACTGCCACCCCCCTGAAGACCGAGCTCCAGTTCTTTGTTCATCGCGAAGACGTTGCACCTGAAGCGGGCCCACTCGTTGAGGAAGAGCGCGCATGACTCCGGCTGCTGGAGTGTAGGGTCGGCGCAGACCCTGCCCTCGTCTGGGAGGTGTTCGGTCGCCCGCTGGTGCCGGAGGCCGTTAGAGTAAGCGCCCAAGTCCTTTTGGAGTCTTCTCGCGGCCTCTGCGGGGGCCCCCCCGGCGCGCTGCTGGAAGGGGGGCTCTGTCGAAGGGGGTGATAGCTGCGAACGCGTCGGTGAGTCGCGGGGTCGCGAAGATCGCACCCGTCGCCCTGGAAGTCCCTGGAGTTGCATTGAGCGGAAACATCACCGGCCTGAGCGCTGGCCTGGGAAGGCCAAGGATCGTCCTCAATGGCGCATGTGCGGGCGGGTCGGCTCCAGCGCTCTACGGTTCCCCAGCTGGCCCACCCTGACAAGTGCGCCCAGTGGCTGCCGCAAGGGCTGCTGCGGCCAGCCCCCCCGTGCCGGCGCAGGGCGGCGCTCGCGCCAGCCCGCCCCGCGCGCCCGCGGGCGGGCGGGCCCTGGGCGCGCCGGGGGGGCGCGGTGCACTCCGCCCAGGCGGGCGCGTGAGGCCCCCGTCGTCGCCCCGGGCAAGTGCGGGGGAGGAACGGGGCTCGGCGGGCAAGGGTGGGGTGCGCGACCTGCGATCTTGCTCGGGGCTGCGGGCGATCTCCGCCGGCGCGGGGCTCGACGAAGGGGGGGGCGCGACAGGAGCACCTTTGCGCCCCCTGGGCGCCGCAGGCGGGGCGTTCCGAAGGGCCGCGTCAGGGGTGCCCAGGGCGTCGCCCGCGCGTCTCGTCACCCCGTCGTCGCTCAAGCGGGGGAGGAAAACTTGTCGGGGCAGCTGGCTGGGCGCGTGGAGCAGCCGGTCTGGGGCCGGCGTGCCCCGCGCGGGCGCAGCCCGGGGGTGCAGTAGCCTGGCGGCGGCACGGTAGGCTGGCAAAACTGCGCGGAGAGGCGGAGGGGGAGTGCCCCGCGCCCCCGTCCCAGTCCGGGTCAGGAGAGTGGGGGCGGAAGCGATGAAACTCGGCAAGGGGGTTGGCTGCCTCGCGGGGTTGACGGAGGTTGGCTGCCTCGCGGGGTTGACCGCCAGAGTTGCTCCGCCCCTCGCCCTTGCTGTTCTTCCATTCGGAGGGGACGGTGATCTGCTCGCGCAGCTCTGCATGGGGATCTCCTGCTCGAGCTGCAGTGGGGGCCCAGGCGTGAGCTTGTCGGAAATGACTTGCGCCAGGAAGGCAACCGATGTTTCCGCGATGCGCCGCGGGGGGGGGGGGGGTGCGGGCCGCGCGGGGGGCGCTTTTGGGAGTGGTGGAGCCAGCTGTTCAGCATGTTTGGGCCCGTGGAGAGCACGCAGAGCTTTGTCGCCGCCCGTGCGGCAGCCAGTCGTTCACCCTGCCAGCGGGCGCTCTTGGGGAGGCAGGAGGGTGGCGCCCGCGCTCCGTAGACCAGCTTCAGGAAGGGCCTGAGCTGAAGTGGCCCCCAGTTCCCGGGTCCCCCTCAGCGTCGGTGTAGCCCCGCCAACGGTCGTCCAGGAGCGGGCGCAGGTCGCGCATAAACGCAACTATCCGGACCTCAGTGGGTCTTGCGTCAGGGTCGTCAGCTCCGTCCCCCTCGGCTTCCAGGAAGTTGAGGTCGGCCTTGCTCAGCCCAGGCCCTCGCGGTAGATTCGCCTCAGGAAATAGGCGGAGCACCTCGTTGGCTTCATCGGACATGGTAGGTGGTGCGTCTGCCTCTAGGGCCGCGCCGTCGGAGGCGCCTTCGCCTCGGCTGAGCGGAGCAGCGCGCCTGTTTCCCAAGTCAGAGAGGGGGCGCTGAGGGAAAACAGTCGCACGTCGCCGTGTAGCGCTTAGTCTCGATGGCCGTAAACCCGAACCTGTCGTCGCCCATACGCGCGGGGGGGATTGCGGTGTTGGCCAGCTTGGGAATGTGGAGGCCCGTGGGGGTCAACAAGAAACCCCCCAGGTTCCCTGCCGCCGATGCCGTCGGAAGCGCCGAGACCGCAAGTCGAGGAACGCTGGGGGGAGGCTTGTGCACGGGCGGGGATCGGAGAGGGTTCCTGGCCAGGACCACTGCCTGGACGCTGTCGGCGAGGGAACAACCTGCGGGTACGATGTGGCCGCCCGTCTCCATCGCCACTGTCCAGCACTGACCGCATAGCCAAGTGCAGTCCAGGCCGTTCGCGTTCGCCTGAAGGCGGTTGGGCGCCAGATATGTTCTGTTCTTATCGTCCCACCAAGTGCCCTCGTAGTACTGAGAGTGTGGGTTGTAGCAGACGTCGCGTCAGTATCTGGCCGCTTGCCCAATCAGCGCTGCAGCGGGTGTCGCATGGCGCGAGGCAAGGTGGCACTTTGGAGACGCTGGGGGGTGGCGCCGGAGGCGGGGCTCTATCCAGCGGGGTGTGGCCAAAGGAGAACCCACCGCTGAGGAAGGTGACCTCGGAAGGGCAGTCTTTGGGCCCAGGGGCGCTCTCCTTGCCTGTGAGCTCGTAATGGACAGAGCAGATGCTGCACTTCGTGTGCGAGAGGGTGCTGGCGCTGGCTGGCTCTATGATCTGTTCCAGGACCAGCATCGGGGCCTTGAGCCTTGAGCTTGAAGGCGAAGGGTTTCCATGCCCGCGTAGGTGCCCTGGCAGCCAGCGTCCTTCGCGACTGGGCGGTGGTGGGCGGTGGTAGCCAATCTGGCCACGGCGCCAGTCAGTTTCTCCAGCTTCCGTGTAGCTCTCGAAGGTCGGACAGCTGCAGCCCCCAGGTAGAGGCCAGTTGCGTTTGGAAGTGGCGATGCCGGTCTTGCCACGGACGGCAGATCCCGAGGACGGCCTCCAAGTTGTCCCCGGAGCCTGAAGGGTCCGGGAAACGCCACATGTGGGTGCGGGGCTCACGCTTCGTGAGGAGCATGACGGTGCGCGCGAAGCGGGCCTTTTCGGAGGACATGGCGCGCTGGTCGGGGTCGAGCAGCTCCAGCCGAGATGGTGGGTATACGTTGTTTGGCTGGCGGCTCCTAGGCGACCGCCAAGGACCGAGAGCGACGTCCGGAGTTGCGGAACGGTGCGAATTAGCGAACACAGCCGCCAGCGTCGGCAAGCCAGCTCGCATAACTACAACAGGCAAGCACCTGCAGTAAGACATGCAATGTGTGCAAACGCACGTGCAATAAGCAAAATGCTCTTCATTCGGCAGCGGCAAGTCGCCCTGTTGGCGCCAGTCCGCGCAGCCGGCCTAACCCAGGCAGGTAGTACCGGGGTGCCACAGCCGTATCGATGTCGGCAAGGACAGGGGCAGAAGAGGCAAGAACCTACAGAGTGTTCACTCCACGATCCACACCGTTGCCCATGGTGGGCCGACCAGCCAGCGAATCCGAAACCACTCACGAGTCGGAGCCACGTTGATAGGACACGCCTGCCCAAGCGTCAGTATTGTTGCCATCGGGTAACGGGTGAGGGGATGGTGGGTATACGCGAAGCATCTAGAATTTCAAAATGAATACTTCCCACGAGAGATAGCTACGTACCATACATACTCGGAGTAGGGCCAGTCGAGACAATGGCGGGCCGCCCCGGCAGTTGTCCTCCTTCCTGGGCCCGCTGGACGCTGCTCGTCGCCGCGGCTGGATCTGCCTCGAAAGAGCAGGCCAGGGTGACCCCAGGAGAACCCAGGGACAGATTTAGACAGAATTTGGGACAGGCGGGAAAGCCGCAGATGTCTCAACTAGCCTCAACCGGCGCACACGGGCTCCGACTTTGGCCGGGCCCGGCAGCTGTGCAGCGCGCCTCCCTGGGCAAGCCAGCGTCGGCGTCGGTGGGTGATATGACAAACACACGGCACAGATATCCACAGTCGTAGAAGAAGTAATAACGCCATAAACACTAACTTCTGGCGCTCCGCGAAGAGTTCTGCGAACCGAGCTGGACCCCCCCTCTCTGGCGCGCTGAGCGCGCCAGGGGCGGCGCCATAGGCGCCGCCGGGGTGGGGCCCAGCGCGGATCCAAGAAATCCGCGCGGAACTCCAAAAATTTGCGTCTAACGTGTAGTGTTCTTCTTCGAAGTCGGTGGTCCGCGCTGGACTCATACCTCCCCTGACGCGCGGAGCGCGCCAGGGGCCGCGCCGGAGGCGCCAGGGACGGCCCCACGCCGATCCGCGAAATCCTGGGGAAACCCAGACGACTGTGTGGATGCGAGCTGTTCCACTTCGATGTGTGGCTGGAGTCGTCTGGCTAGGCTCCTCGTCTGGAGACGAGATCAGGACGAAGCGCGACGCCAGCCGGGGCTCGCGCTCCAGCAGGTACTGCAAGGACAGCGTCACCAGTGGTAAGTTGTGGTCGGCTGGCGGAAGGTCTTCGCTGCGAGAGGGAGGTCCGACTACGCAAAAGGGTCGACGAGAAGTCTGGGGAGGAGACCCCTGAGGTCCAGGGATGTCTGGGAATCTCCGGAGCAGCCTGGAGAAGCGCGTGTGAATCCGGGGAACAGAAGTCGGGGGGGATGCACGGCTGGAAACGAAGACCCTGCGCCAACCGGCCAGCATGTTGGCCTTCAGGTCGAAGATCCCGGGGCCGTACCAGCGGCCTTCGCGGCGACCGCTGGCCTTGAAGCTGCCCACGGGCCACACCGTGTCGTGGTGGAAGATGCAGCAGAGGCCCAGGCAGTGCCAAAGGAGGGCCACCTCGAGGTGGGTTCGCCACCTCTTCGAGGAGGACCCCCCACCCACAGGTCGGGCATGTTCTCCTACAAGCGGGTTTGGGAAAAAATAGACAATTGCCAAAACATACTCAACAATAGTGTCCAATTCTCGACTATTCCTCGTGTGGAGAGCCATGCCACACTTAACCCAACCCCCAGAACACTTCAAAAACGCAACAACCCGTCCAGAATGGAGGCCGCCCAGGCCGGGTCAGAGCAGATAGGGCCGAGGGCTCGCGCAGCGTCGCCGATGCGTCGGCTAAGTTGGCGATGCGTCGCGCCGCATCGCAGATGCATCTGCGATGCGGAGCGATCTATCGACCCCCTCTACCTCGACCTCACCTGGGCGGTCTTGGGGCCGAGAATGGTGAGGAACTCCGGGTTATCTGGCAGTCCTCGTTTCTGCAGCCCGCGTGGGACATGAGATCATGTAGGACTCCCAGCAAACTTAGCTGCCCCGATACGCAACACGCAACACGCAGCACGTTGACACGGAGCCAAACACACAGACGGAACACTAAGGTCTGGCGGGATATGGCCGCCAAGACGTGGGCCAGCACGAGGCGAGCCAACACGCAGCGTGGTGAAACGGACGCTTTGAACGCAGCACGCCATGCGTTGCAACACGGGCGCATCGGGGCAGCTCAGCTCAGGTCGGGCATGTCCCCCCACAGGCGGATGTTGGACGAGAATTGAAGAAATACACGAAATGCTCAAGAAGATTCAAACATGTCAGAAAAATCGTCCCCAGGCTATTTCTCACTATCTTTGAATCTGATTCCTCCTGCTGCGAGACATGCCCGCCTTAAAGCCAAGCCCGCAACGCATCGGGCCTCGAGCCCTGTGGATGCAGGTGACCTCCCTTGAAGCACTGCCCGAGATGCGCGGCTCGTCGGACCCGATCTGCGCCCGGATGGCCGGGGGCACCTTGCAGGATGACGCCACGTCCGTAGCCACGCCAACCCCGGCCGATCCTATACTCAGTCCGGGCATGTCCTCCTACAGGCAGGTATTTGGAGGAAACTGAAAAACAGCCGAACCATGCTCACACATAAAATCGTCCCCTGGCTACTGTTGTATATTTTTGAGCACCCCTCCTATAAAGGGCCATGCCCGACTTAATTCTATACCCGCGCCCACTCTTACATCCAAGCCGCTTCTACATTCACGCCGCACCCTGGCATCCACCTGCTGCTGTAGCCACGTCTACATCCACGCCGCTGCCGCATCGACGCGGGTGAAACAATACTGGTCTTCGTCCTAATCCCTTCTGTCCCCATGATGATCACACCGAGTACCTGGACATCCGACATTTGATTTCTTCATTCGCGGTCTCACCAAAGGACCCGACCCCTTCCCCGGGGTGATTGTGTCGCCACCAATCCATTTTGATGGACCCAGGGCCGGCTGACGAGCCCTGGATAGCGAAATCGATTAAACGCAGCCAGATGGGAAACACCTGTATATGTATAAGTATATGTATATACGGGTGTACATGTATATCTAGATGTGTAGATGTAATCCAACATGGGCCCCAAGCAGTGGTTTCTAGAATGCTGGTAGGTGATGTGATCTGCATGGTGCACGCTATGTGGTACAAGCTATGTGGCACAAGCTATGTGGTGCAAACTATGTGGTGCAATTTGAATGGTGCGATATACGTGAAACGATCTATGGGGTGGCAGCTTTGTAATTCCAAATATGTGTGGTGCAGTCCGTGTGGTTGCGATATGTGTGGTGCACACTACGTAGTGCAATCCAGATGGTGCATCGATGCAGTGGAATATATGTGGACTGAGCTATGTGTGTAAGCTATGTGGTGCCAACTCTGTGGAGCCAGCATAGTCATGTAGGTAGTGCGCGCAATGTGGTGTATACCCTGTGGTGCAATATGTGTGCTACGAGAAATGGGGTGCGCGCTATGTCGTACAACATATGTGGTGCAATATCTGTGGTGCGATCTATGTGATGGTGTAAGCTACGTCCTGAAATAGATGTAGTGCAAGCGATAGGCTAACACATGTATATATATGTATATATAGAGATGGCTTGCGCCATGTGGTTTAAGTTATGTCCTCCCATTTGGTGTGAGCGGTGATGTGTGAGCTATGCGGTGTAAGCTACGGGGCGCCATCTATGTGGTGCAGCGTTTGTGGTGTAGGCCATGTGGTGCGCCGCGACGAGTCGGCGACGGGTAAAGACGGGCGGCGCCGGGGCGGTGACAAGCCGGCCAGCCAGAGCGGCACACGAGCCCGCGCCGAGGCGGCGACGAGCGGCGGCGGGGCGGCGACGGTGCGAGAAGAAGCTGGCCCAGGCAACGAACGAGCCCGGTTCCTCTAAAAACAAATGAGAACCCTACGTGCAAACACTGTTCGCACCTGGTATGCACCGATCCTGTCTGCGCCCATGGACCGCCAGGCCGGGATCGAAATGCTGGGCGGGGCAACTGTCTGGTCGCACGAACGGGGGGGGTAATACATGTGGGGTTTGCAACTCAGCTCCCTGGCGTCTCTCTGCGCCGGAAATGCCACCGGCGGCGGAGCCGAAACCGGTTGCATGCAGACGATGTACTACCCCTTTCCCTATTCGCCCCCCCGTCGTCTGAACCGGGTGATCCTCGTCGTTTCAACCTCGGATCAGAAGTCGGATCCATGGCGGCCGCTCGGGTCAATCCAGGCACGCCCGGAAAGCCTTCGGCGAGGCCCAACTGCTGGAGGGCATCCCTGGGCTGGAAGACCGCCGAGAGCCGAGGCAAACGTCCCAGAACCTCAAACGTCGAACCCTCCTCCTCGACCTCCCCACCTCCAGGAGCCTCGATCCCCGAGCGGGTTAGGCGCAAGACTGCTGAGTTGGGCGTGGCCCGAAGGACGAGTGAAGCACTCTGCAGGCCCCCTTGCCACAGAGAGAGGAGGAGGAGGAGGAGGAGGAGGAGGAGGAGGAGGAGGAGGAGGAGGAGAAGGAATAGGAGGAGGAAGCGAGGGGGGGAGGAGGAGGAGAAGGAGCAGGAGCAGCAGGAGGGAAAGCAGTAACAATAGGAGCAGGAGAAGGAGGAGGAGGAGGAAGAGGAGGAGACGGATGAGGAGGACAGCGCGCCCTATCGCATGCTGAGGAAATGAGGAGGAGGAGGAGGAAGCAAGGGAGGGGAGGCAAGGGGAGAAGGAAATGAAGGAGGAGAAGGAGGAGGCAAAGGAGAGGAGGATGATGAGGCGGAGAAGGAGGAGGAGGAATAATGAGGAGGAGGAGGGAGGCTGATGAGAAGGGAGGAAAGATGTGGGTGAAGGAGGAGGAGGAAGAGGACAAGGAGGAGAGAGCCTGATGAGAAGGGAGGAGAAAGGTGGGAGGAGGAGGAGGAGGAGGAGGAGGAAGAGGAGGAATAAGAGGAGGAGGGGGAGGAGGAGGAGGGGAGGAGGAGGAGGAGGAGGAAGAGGAGGGGGAGGATAGATAGCAACATGACGATGTCAATGAAAAGCGACGCCCTACCCCCAGGCTTCCGCCGTGCAGCCCGCTCAGCTGCACTTAAAGGCTTGGGGGGGGACACCTCGATGGAAACGGTCGAAGTATGACCTCCTGGTGTCATAAAAACAGTCCAACCCAAAACACTCCCGCCTGAGCCCCGCTTGTAGGTTGATGAAACATCATCCGATTGGATTCATGAGCCCACCCCCGCAGCTAAATACAGCTTGCTCTTAGGGCCCGGAAAGATGACATAATCAACTGGTTCTAGAGGTGCGCGCGGGGAGTCAAGCCACTCTTGGAGAGTAGCTCTGGTACCACTGCTATGGCACGTGGTGCACGGAAACAACCACAATCGCTAAGCGTGTCAACGCTTCAAAACCTGGCTACTGCGGCAGGAGGAAGCGGCGGCGGGGCACGGACCGACGGGACACGGTCGCGCGCGTCGGGCGCAACTATCTTCGCATCCTAGCGCCCCGCAGCCGTGGCCCCGAGGGTCGCTCTGAGAAGCCTCCGCCTAATCAGGGCAACTCGCCCTTCCACCTCCGCATTCCTGGCACGAACAGATTCAGGCAACCTACACCTAAGGGCGACATCATTGACGATGGCGTCAGTCGCTTCATTACCATGAATGAGCCAACCTGGAATTTGTCCTGTCACACGCCTCACGCGCATCAAAATGTGACGGTGTTCAGAGCACCACGATCTCGCTGGGGCTTCGTCACCGAAAGAGCTCCCCGATCTCTGCCCACAGTCCGGTCATGGTGCTGTTCCTTTCGCACACATACTGCCTTAAGTACCAGACTCGAACAACGTTACCAGTATGAGAGATGACTGCTGAACACCGAATGGCCATCTCCAAGCATCGCAACTCCCCTCTCGGAACAGCTTGTAGCCGCCCTGTGCGTGAACCTCCCAGCTTAGGCCCCAAATTCAAAGAAACTGGATCGGTCATGACCACGAGCCCAAGACCCACGCGCCTCAAGGAAGAAATTATGCTGTCGGGGCCTCCTGAAGCGTCTCCAAAAATCAGCAGCGGTTTGTCAACCGTCCCCGAACCACGGCAAACAGGCCCAACACTCGGGCCGATCGGATCAACTCCAACCCAATCCTCAGTAGTGGCAGGTGCTGGCGTCATGGTTAGCCTTCTCGGGACGAGACCTCGGTACCACAAGCAACTGTCACTGTCTCCA